AAAAACCATCCATACATGCATCCTTCCATCCATCCATCATCCATCCAATCAAAAACCATCCATACATGCATCCATCCATCCATCCATCCATCCAACCAACCGACCAAAAACCATCCATACATGCATCCATCCATCCATCCAATCAAAAACCATCCATACATGCATCCATCCATCCAACCAATCAATAACCATCCATCATCCATATATCCAAAAAACATCCATCCATCCATCCATCCATCCATCCATCCAATCAAAAACCATCCATACATCCAAAAAACATCCATCAATACACCCAGCCAATAACCATCCATCCAGCCAACCAATAACCATCCATCCATGATATTTTTACCCATTTCTTCCTTTTTGGGTCATGGGGGTCACTGGTGCCCATATCCAGCAGTCACTGTGTGAGAGGTAGGGGACACTGTGGACAGGTCTCCAGTCCATCACAGGGACACAGAGACAAATAAGACAAACAACCATTCATTCACTCACTCTCTCTCTCTCCACATCAGGGAAGGCACCATTAATGAAGAAAAGTGAACAGGTTTTAGAACAATACATCTAGGCATCTTTTTCAACAAAGGCCTTTCAGATTTCACAAAGCTTAACTACATGTTGCATCCATCACGTCAGCATGGCTGTGCAGTACAAGACTCGGGTGCTGGACTAGCCTACCTGCAGTCCAGACCTCTTACCAATAGAAAACTTTTGACATGTGATGAAATAGAAATCCAGCAAAGAAAACCAAGAACTGTAGGAGATAGAATCCAGACAAGACAAGAAAGGAACAACATTCCCTCCACAAACTCGTGCAGCTGGTCTCCTCAGGCCCAAGATGAAAAGAAGAAGACATGTTTCAGTGAGAAACATGGACCTGCTCCAACTGTTCTTCACATGTAGTGATGCCATAAAATTATTTTTTTATCTTAAAACGGTAAAGTTTTTTAGTATAAACATTTGATATGTTTACTTTATTCCACTGTGAATAAAATATGGATTTATTAGGTTCATAATTTATTGCATTCTGTTTGTGTTTACATTTTACACAATGCTCCAAAATTTTCAGAATTAGGGTTGGTTTTAGAAAATGGTATTTATTTGAATTTTTTGAAGAAAAACACCCAAACCTCTATGTGCTTCAGCAAAGATGTCTCATACAGAACATGCCAACACGCATTGATCACAGTTCAGAGAATAAATGCAACCTTTAAATCCATTTCCACCCACACATCTATAGTGTCAGTCATAAAGCTGGTTTTTGACACTTTGGAATTTAAATTCGGCTCGACACGATGATTTCTAAGCAACAGGCTCATCAGACCGACTAGTTAGTGAATTCAACATTTTGGTCCATCAAACCAGCTTTCAGAGAGCTAAGTTGCATCTTTGTTATCGGAGTTACTTTTTAATGCCGGACACTGGGGGAAGTAACTGAACTCAACATTTCTGTACATTTGTTTGAATTTCTGATCAGTTTGAACAACAAAATGACAGCAGAAGCTTTAAGGATATTGATTGATTGTCCCACGATGCACTTTAGTTAGGGTTGGGTGATATGCAATTTTATTTATATCAGCCTGTTCAACAAACGATTGGCAGTATCAATACGCAAGTGTCTTAAAGCATGCTTTTTGTGTTGTTGGTTTATTTATTTATTTATTTATTTTGTGGGGGTTTATGATGAGCAGAGTCAGCAATCCTCGTTTCTGTACAACTGTAGATGACAAATGTTTGTTGACAAGAAAAGTGACTGATTTAAACTTATTTTGATTTTAAACCATAGTGTTAATTTTGACAAACATCAAGCTCCAAGTCACAACAGAAGTCGTCTCAGGGCACTGAATAGAAACGTTCATATACATAAAAAATAAGTTAACACTTTTTATCTGATCTGCACAACCAGCTGCTGATGTTTGGAGCTTCAGACAGCTTTGTCACGCTGAATGCAAGGACGCGGTTAACTTTTAATATGATGTAATATTACAACAACTAAATATTTTTGAATCTTGGAGCCTTCCAGATAATGTTTGTAATAGAGCCCGACCAATGCATCAGTAAAGCCGATAATTTAGGCCGATATAAACGTTTGGGGACCCATCATATCGGTGATAATTGTCCATTATGCGCCGATATAGCACTTCTAATTTCCCCGCCCTAAAATGCTGGAACCAGATGTAATTGTACAATGTATCCAGCAGAGGGCGCATGAAGACAACTTTCAAGTCATGGCTAATCACTTAAGTTTCACTTTCAGCACAGACGAAGCAGCGAGCAATACACATCATGGTAAGTTTACATTAACTGATCTGTAAAAAAACAACAACAATAAATTCTCTTCAATCCTCCAACCTGCTTGTCATTAGCTACGTGCCTCTCAAGTTAGCAAGCTAACTTTTAGGTAACTTAGCATAGGCCATTGCCTTCTAAAAACTTTATCCAGAACAACAAATCTAACATAGAGGTAAAATCTATCAGTGTCAGTAATGTTATCTTTGTCATCCTCCATGAAATGCATTGTTTGTCTGAAATCTTTACTTCTCTACAAAGAAAACTAAACTCTGCTGCAGTTAAAACTCATTAGACCTTCACCATACTTCTACCAGCCTGATCAAGAAAACACATAAGAGACTCTTCCTCAGGCGGCTGAGACGAGCTGGTGTGGGAAGCTCAGTCCTCACCTCCTGAAGAAGACAAAGGAGATGATTGTGGACTTCAAAAGGAAAAAAACACACCTACATCCCCCTGAACATAGGAGGATTTGTGGTGGAAGTGGTCTCCAGCTACAAGTACTTGGGTGTGCACCAGAACAACAACCTCAGCTGGAGCAACAACACCACCAGCCTGATGAAGAAAGCTCATCAGAGACTCTACTTCCTCAGACGGCTGAGGCGAGCTGGTCTGGAAGCTCAGTCCTCACCTCCTTCTACAGGTGTGCAGTGGAGAGCATCCTGTGCTCCAGCATCAACGTGTGGCATGGAGGCTGCACAGCTGCAGAAAGAAAAGCTTTGCAGAGAGTGGTGAAGGCTGCACAGAAGCTGTTGGAGTCAGTCTCCCCACCATCACAGACATCTACACCTCCAGATGCAAGAAGAGGATCACCTGCATCATGAAGGACCCCACTCACCCAGCACACACACTTTTTGCCCCGCTCCCCTCAGGAAGGAGGTTGAGGAGCATTAAGTGTAGAACCACTAGACTGAGGAACAGCTTCTACCCTGAGGCTGTTAGACTCATGAATCTCTAACTAGAATAATCACTGTGAAATAAAAAATTCACTGTGATGCCACTTTATTTTTGATATGTGCTGCTGATCTCATGCTGCTGATCTGCTTTCATGTTGCTGTGTTCATGCGTACTCATCTGTTCACACAGACTCATGTTCGGCGTATTGTTTTTGTACCATTAGTGCTTAGTGTATTCTTAGTTTAGTGTATTTCTTAGTTCATATCTTAGATCTTATAATTGTTTTTCTTTACAATTTATACTTTTGTTGGATGCAACTGGGAACCTGTGTACACAATTTCATTCCACCACATGTACCACACGTGCTGGAATGACAATAAAGAAACCTTTACGTGACTGACTGTTGAAACATTGAACAGGAAGGGCGTTTCTTTGTTTAATTTATATTTTTGTAACACAACTGATAACGTTATGGTGAATGGAGAACAGAAAATGTGCACACATTATGACCAGTGCACCACTTGTAAACCTAATGTTAGCTTAGCTTCGTGATTGCTAACAGCTGTGCTAAATGCACAAGCCCCGCTCTATTCACTGGTTTTTTTTATTCTTGGGAGTGGACAAACAATAAAAATTTCAGCCATTATACCGGTTATCGGCATTAGCCTTCCCCTCCCAGTATCGGTATCAGCGATAGACAAAATGTCCATATCGGTCAGGCTCTAGTTTTTAAACTACATGTTTTCCTAAGAAGCTGCAGAGTGCCGAGGACCTGGGTGGGCTCAAGAAGGCAGAGAGGACCAAACCATTTATTGTTTCGAGGGAATCATTAATGCAGCGGTGAATAAGTGAAAGAGAACCAACTACAGAAATTGGAGTTTAAGGCTTCATTAGTGGAGCCTGAAATCATGGATGTGAGCTCTGCAGGGCGCAAGAGGAAACTGCAACAAAAGACAATAGTATAAACGAGCTGTATGCTGACGTCCTCCATCGTTGAGGGATTCGAACAGTGAATGTTTGTCTGGACTGGAACTGAATGGGGAATGCAAGTAAACCTCAACATTTTCGGTGCAAGATATTCGAGTCCTCTCCGAGTGCTCTGTCGGGTGTTTGACACTGAGCTGGACCAACACCTGCCAGAACCTTAAAGGCTTTGCTGCTGGAAATGAATGAGGTGGGTTGTACACACCTCAGGTGCATTTTGACAAGGTTTTGATTTGAACTGTACATTCAGGCCAAACCTATTACAAAGTAACATTACAGGCACAATTTTGCTTGTACCCTTTTTTTTTTTTTTTTATGAAAAACCCATGAAGGTCACTGAAATAACTAGAAACTGACAAAAGTAATGAACATAAAATTACTAAAAATCAACTAATGAAAATTTGTCATTGCTTTTGAGTTTTGGTTCAACAGAATTGAAAAAGAAAACTAAAGAAAGTAGCCTTGACAAAAAATGATGGTACCCCTAGAAAACACTGAAAGTAACGTGAGCACAGGGACACGTTAAACTAAACGGCTGTTTGGTATCGTGGGGTGCAACACACTGAACATGAACCACAGGACGTTACGTTTTCAATACTGAACAAATATTACTTCAAATTCTCCATTTCAAAAGCTTTAAAATGATACGTAGTTGGTTCAAATTTGGCATTTTATTTATTGTGAAGTGGTCTTCTGAGCCCTGATCTAAAGTTTGTTGAACATCTGTGTAAGGAGCTGAAACATCTGGAAAAAGAACCCCTCAAACCTGAGACAGCTGGAAGAGTTTGTTCATTAGGAGTGGACTAAAATGCCCGTCGTCTCAGAAAGTTACAGAAATCACATGAACGCAGAGATCGTCTCAAAAGTTGTGCAACAATTATTTCCATCTTTAAATCACTTCTTGGTCTGCTGCCTTCATACATCTCCTCCTACATGTCTCTGTGTGAGTGCAGCTACAGCGTGCGCTCTCAGGACATCATTACCTGCAGTGTTCCCTCAGTGAGGACTGAACTAGACAAAAGGACCTTCTCCTCCTCCGCTCCTGTTTCCTGGAACATCTTGTAAAAAGATCTGAAGCTCTCGACCTTTGACCTCTCTGAGTGACTACAAACATCTGATAAGTTCATGGGAAAACGAAATGGAGCCATGTTCCTGTTTTTAGTTTTCTACACCACTTTATAATGTAGCTGTTTTTTTTGTTTGTTACTTCTTTAATACCATTTTATTTTCACTTGTTATTCAGTTTGTACACATCCTTTATGATTGTCTATTATTGTCTTTGTGGTCCATTGTTGTCATCACTCTGTTAAACCAGGTCTCTGTTGTAAATGAGTCCCTGAGGCTCAATGGGATTAACCTGTAGAAATAAAGGTTGAGGGAATTAAGTTAATGGGACCATTCTGAAAGTCAAGTTCTGTCTTTTTACTTTCTGGCGGACCAAAATTAAAAAGCAATTTCTGAATTTTATTTAACATTTATTTGCTATTTTCAACTTATTTCAGTGACTATTGTGTTTTTTTTTGTTTTTTTTTTAACAAAAGGACGAATTTATTGACGTTGGTAACTTAGCTAAAATGAAGAGTAAAATACTGCTGATGCTCATTTGTCCAATCACCCAACCCTAGCAGTGATACAGTCAGACCTCCAGTGTCACAGGTCAGTGGAAGCTCAGATGGATCTAAGAAGACAGCGGTCATTCTGTTAGGTCGTGCCGCTCACGCCACCCGCTCGCAGGGAGCACGTTTGAGCCATCCAAAGCTCAGCAAGGCCGTGCAGCAAAAGCAAAAGTTGTCTGGTTTACCTGGATGTCTCTTTGGTTTGTGGATAAAGTGATCACCTGGATTGGGAGGCGGGGCCACATCCTGCCCCTGTCTTGCTAGCATTGGATCGTACTCCTTCCCGTCGTAGTTGGCGTCGAAGAACTTCTTAAACCACTGGACAAATTCAAAGTTGTCCTGGAATTTTCCTTTTACAAGCTTCTCTACAGGAATTATCTGGAGAGCAGGAAAAGGAAATGTGAAACAACACAGAACTGGAGAAATGAAAGCCGAAACAGAGGCGTTAAAGATAAAAGCAGCAGAATACTAGCTACTGGTAAAAGTTTAAAGCAGCAAAATGATAGAAATGTGGCAAAAGCTTAGCTAAAAGTACCGGTAGCAACAACTGGTTAAAGCTAATAGTAGCTTAAGGCTATCTAAATGCTTAAATAAGCAGAACTGCACCTAAAAGCTAAAAGCAGCAGTATGGTAGCTAAAAGCTAAAATTAAATTAAATAACAAAATGTAAACAGACAAGTACGCTGAAGCAGATTTCTAAAAGAACAGTTTTTATGAAGGAGATGAGATTTTAATGTATTCCTACAAAAAAAAGATCTGGAAATAGAATAAAATACAAAAAAAACTATAAAGTTTAAAAATACCAGAAGTAATGGCGCACATCTTCTAAAATAATCTGAATATTTACAGAAGACTGGCTAAAATAGCACAAAGTATGCAGAAGTAATTAGACTGCAAATACGTTTGACAAAATAAAAATACAGGAACACAACTGTGCGAACGCTGAATGAGCGTTCACAAAATTATAAAATACGTGTAGGAGAGATACGACTCTAAATGATCTCTGGTTTAAAGTAATTTAATTAAACGTTGAGTACGTCTCACCTTGTCGACACCCATCCTTTTAAAAGCTGCTTGAAGGACTTTGAAGTTGTGTATAGATTCATGCTCCAGCTTCGCTTGAAATTTGACCTTCTTCAGAAGGACACACCCCGGAAACAGCATGTCCATGAACTGGCAGTACGCTGCTCCTGGAAAACACAAGGACACAAACATTTGCTCCTGATTTCCTTTGCAACAGAACTCCCTGACGACCTGAGCTCACCTGAGCAGAGCTGCTCGATCTTGGTGTAGGTGAGATGCAAGGAGTCGTTGACCCATGCCAGCATGTCGTGTCGACTGAGGTTGTCGATGGACACAGATGTAGCGTAGACGTTCACTGCCATCCTTCCCTGAGACAAACAACAGAATTCAATCAAGCTGAGCCGATCTTTACATTTCATGGGAACAGGGCGCGCCTTCAACCGGCCGCTGTATGTAAATCAGACTGATTGGCTCGATCACTTAATCAATGAGTACACTGAAGTGTGGTCCCTTTGAACTCCCCGCCTGCTTGGTCAACACAAAAACGCTATAACTCTGTCGATATTATGGAATTTGAGGTGAAACTTGAAGCACGTGAAGGGGAGGGTCAGTGTGACGTGTTAATACTGCATGAGATGTTTGATGGTTTCAAGACATTTCTGTGACCTTTGTGTTGATGCTGGGCTCTTTTTGTTCGACAAAAGGGAACAAATAAATGTTTCACCTCAGTGACTTCAGTGGCAGGCTCCCAGCGGTTCAGGAAAACACAACCCCCTGATTTTTCCAAGTAAATCCTGAAGTTCCAGATGTTTCAGTCACAAGAAATGCTCAGAACTACACGGGAAATACACTGAGCCTACATAAAGCAATCACTCCTAATAATTAAATATATTGTAGAACATCGGATGCTGCCATAGACAATCAGTAATGACACATCGTGTATTAACTTCACATTGTAGAAGCAAAATGTGAACTCAGTCATAATAGATGATATAGGAATTATTATTTTGATGCTTTTATGTCAATTTATACTCATTTACATGTAGTTTAAAAACACACTTATACAACGTGTTATTCACATATTAGGGATTGTACTTTGTTTAACATGTCACAAAGACAAAGGGGGGAATGATTTATGTTGCCTTTGTTAATATTTGGGACATTCTTTGATGGTTTGCAGAGGGATGGAGGAGTGCGTATTTCCTCTTTAGGAAGTTTAAGGAGTATTTCTAACTTCAAGGTCTTGGCCTGCCTTGAGGTCACCGTGCTCCTTCTTTGTAATAAATCACCAGCTCCTCATCCGTTGTTCTGGTAACCATCAAACTTATTTTTGAATGCTCTCACGCGATCCGGTCAGGGAAATGGTATAAAGGAAGTGTGACAGGCAACTTAATCTTTGGAGGTCCTGTGATGGATCAGCACGCGCTGGTGCCATGCGCCATTTTGATGTGATTCTTCTTTACCTGGGTCGAAAACGACTTCCCGGCCAGTGTCACGGTGAGAAGTTATTTCATATCAATTTGTGTGTTAAGAGTGTACATGTTTTTTGCTTGGCTGTTTTCTGTGGCAGGTTAATAAAGGACACTTATTACTCCTAGCAGTAACAGCCTCTGTCTTTTATTTTTCCCTATTTGTCTGAATATCTGTGCCGACCGTTCACGAGCCCTTTTGATAAAGAATTTCATAATACAATAGAATACTAGCATAAAAACATCCATCCATCCATCCATCATCTTCCTCTTGTTCTGGACTCAGGTCTCGGGGCAGCATCTTGAGCAGGGAGGTCCAGACATCTCTCTCCACAGCCTCTTCCAGCTCTTCTGGGAGGACTCCAAGGTGTTCCCAGGTCAACCGAGACGTGTAGTCTCTCCAGGGTGTCCTGGGTCGTCCCTGGGGTCTCCTCCCAGTTGGACATGCCTGAAGCACCTCCCTAGGGAGGCGCCCAGGGGACATCCTTACCAGATGAACCACCTCAACTGGCTCCTTTCAATGTGGAGGAGCAGCGGTTCTACTCCGAGTCTCTCCTGATAACTGAACTTCTCACCCTGTCTCTAAGGTACTGTGGTGGCCATCTTGGTTAAGGTGACTACTGAAGTGGTTCATGGGATATTTTGCTAACAGAGAGATAACAAGCACACAGACCAACTATCAGTCATTCTCTTTTTAATAATATTTTTCCAGTTTCCTCTTTCACCTACACTTTATTATTTTAACCTTTATTAAAAACATTAACATTAAAAACACACTTCACCTCCAGAGACCCAAGCTTTAGTTTGGTGTGTGTTTTCTCGTTGTGCAAGCTGCATGGGCTTAGTATGAACTGATAAGTTAAATACCAAGACTCTGTCATGGGCCTTGACCTCAGTGGCTTCAAACATCTGGTAAGTTCCTGGAACAACCAACGCAGACATGTTCTTGTTTTTAGTTTTCTGCCTTACAACCTAACTGTTTTTTTTTTGTAACATTTTTAAATACCATTTTGTTTTCACTTGTTATTCTCAATTTGGACACATCTTTTATGAGTGTCCACTGTTGTCATCACTCTTTGTTAAAACCAGGTCCACCAGAGGCTCAACCTGTAGAAATAAAGGGTGGGTGGATGAAAGGTGCAGGAAGTAGTTGTAGAAAAAAGATGTCCTCATGAGGACGCAGGGCCTCAACACATTTCTATTTATTTATTTGTTTATTTAATGGTAACATGCATGTTGAACCTGTAAGAGAACAGGTGTAGCCTGCCTGTCAATCAAATGTCCTGCATGAATCAGAACGGAGCAGGCGCGTGCAGCCATTTAAACATCACAGCTCTTTCTTCTCCAGCTCCTGCTCCATCAGAGGAGGACGCAGAGCGAGCCGGGCCTTCTGCAGCACCAGGACCCGCTGAGCTCCAGACTGGGCGGAGGTCCGACGTGTCGGGCCGCACAACAATAATAACGTTAGCTCTGTTAGCTAGCCGGGAGCGGTTTGCGGTAAAACCCCGCAGCGCGGCTCCGCTCCGCGGGCCTCCCAGAGCTAAGGTCCTGCCTCTCGACCCGCAGCCAACACGGACAATAAAAACGGTTCACTGAGACGGAACACTCCGGGTACTCACCGTGTTCCGCGGGTCTCACTCTGGTACCGGTGTTCTGTCCGTGCGGTTCTGCTCCGTAACCACCGGGCTGAGGCTGCAGCTGGGCTGGACTGCGCATGCGCGCGGCTCCACGCCGGCCTGTTCCAGGAGACGCATGATGTCTCGGTTCGGACTTTAAGCCTGTTGTTGACTGAGGTTTTCAAAGGGTCAGGCTGCACTAAAGTACCTCGAGGTACTTTATCTAAAGTATCTGTAAATATACTTTAAAGGATCAGTATGGTCATACAGATATAGATAAAAAATAAGATTGTGAATTACTTTTAAATCTTCATCCATCCATTATCTTTTATTTGCTTCTTCCTTTTTGGGTCGCTGGGGTCACTGGTGTCCAGCCATCACTGTGCAGGAGACAAGGTACACCCTGGTCTCCTGTCCGTCACAGGGACACCCTGGACAGGTCTCCAGTCCATCACAGGGACACCCTGGACAGGTCTCCAGTCCATCACAGGGACACCCTGGACAGGTCTCCAGTCCATCACGGGGACACCCTGGACAGGTTTCCAGTCCATCACGGGGACACCCTGGACAGGTCTCCAGTCCGTCACAGGGACACCCTGGACATGTCTCCAGTCCATCACAGGGACACCATGAACAGGTCTCCAGTCCATCACAGGGACACCATGAACAGGTCTCCAGTCCATCACAGGGACACTTGGACTGGTCTCCAGTCCATCACAGGGACGCCCTGGACAGGTTTCCAGTCCATCACGGGGACACTTGGACTGGTCTCCAGTCCATCACAGGGACACCCTGGACAGGTCTCCAATCCATCACAGGGACACATACACTGGTCTCCAGTCCAGTGACCCCCTGGACAGGTCTCCAGTCCATCACAGGGACCCCCTGGACAGGTCTCCAGTCCATCACAGGGACACAAAGAGACAAATGAGACAAACAAATATTCACTTTCTCACCTAGAGACAATTTAGAGTCACCAATCAGTCTAACACAGTGGTGTAGTCTACAGTTTTGTAGTGGATATACTGTGGTTAGAAACCAAAGTACACCAGTTAGTACAATGTAATCGTCAATTTATTTTGATTTTTAAGCATAGGAACATTTCAAAACTTCTCTGATGTTTATATTTGAATAAAGAAACAACAAACTTTGTACAACAGTTGGCTTCTATTAAAAAACATGTTATAGATTTCATAAAACTGTATCAAAGCAAAACATGTTCAAGTAGTAGTAAGTACAGAAGTATATATATATATATATATATATATATATATATATATATATATATAT